GCAGCAAGTGAGTTTTGTGTGTTTCAAGATGAGATTGTCCAATAGAGGTTAAACTGTAACTTTTACTGGAAAAGTGATTTCATTATAGATTATATTAGCTTTGTAAAAGGAAGAGTTAGTGATCAATTAGAATTGTTAGATCCTTATTGGATTTAAGTTAGGATTATATTAATCATTAATAATTCTTTTTATACTTATTATAAAATGAGTTACTTCTTGCTATAAAAGATGAATTCATAAAGGATAATTTGATGATTACTTATAGAGCTTAGATTTGTTGTACTTAGCTTTTGGATTGCTACAGACATGTTGTTCATTAGTTTTTACATTATAAAGTTTAACTTATGGATGTTAAAAAAGATATTGTGAGTTGTACTATGATTTCTTCTTCGACATTGAAGTTGGTTCATATAAAATTCATGATCATTATTAGGTGAGACTTGACTATATGTTTCTTCAAGTTTTTGGTTCTTTGAATTCTTATGCTTATTGTTCAATATATTAAAAGTTGTCGAGGAAAACATTTTGGTTCATTAGTTTCAATGTTGAAGTTGGTATTTTTAGTGATCATTGGTGATGGTTGACTATCAGCTAAGATAGTTGATTATACTTGTCAAAGGTTTTGCTTAATTATTGTTAATGTTGAATGATTTGCCATTTTTTGGGATGGTGGATTATTTTTTCAATGATAATTATATGTTTCTCTATTGATAGAATGATGATCTTTTATAATAGTTAATTGTTGTTAGTTTTTAGCTTTCCACATTACCATATGTTTATTTTAGTTTATTTTGAACTAGTCTTCTGGGTTTAAGATATTAATAGTATGTTGCTGATACTTTTTTAAGCAACTCTAATTCATCTGTATTAATGACAAGGATTTACTCTAACTAGCTAGTGCAATAGTTTGTATGAATGAGTACCCTTGCGACATTCATTTTATTATGTGGAGGTTAGTTTTGTTAGATTTGAATGTTATTTTATTTAGGTGATTTATTCATGACCATTTTGCTTGCCAGCTGATGATATTTTGTGTTCTTTGAGCTATTTCTCATAAGTTTTTAGCATGTTATCTACAAGCTTTAGTAATTAATTTTTATTATTGAGTGTTCTTGATAGTATACTTGTTATTAAATTTTGTTGGATAGTTAATCTTATGTCTTCCAATTATGTTGATCTTGGTGGTTTCTCTACTATACTAGTTTATTAGATGATAATATAGTTGGAATGCTCATATGTTCTAATCTAAGATTTGTTCATTGATAAATTAGTCTTTAAAATATCTTTATCTATGACTTTGACATTATCTGCAAATTAGCTTTAGCACTTTATCTATATGGTGAAATCTCTAGTCATAGAATAGCTACTATCAACTAGTCATATAATCTACCTCCCTCTTAATGTTCTTAATTTTATTAAAAGGGCGTGATTATATAAACAACTCTAACTACTTATTTATAGTAGTCTATTTTAACCTTACTGACAGATTTGGTATGTTTCCAGTTAAGGCCTTTGGCTTCTTTTTATATATCACCTGTAACCCAAAGTATATCTAGTGGAGTACTTATATTTTTGCATTAGGGTACCAGTATGCTAAAATTGTGCTAAACTTTGTTTGGCTTTATTTTGCCTATTGTTTATAGCATTGGGATGTTAGAGTATTCAACTATTACTTTATGCTCTTATCCCTTTGCTCCTTGGGCTGTATACTTAAGAATTACTTTGTAGTATACAGCCCAAGAAACAAAAGGATAAGAGCATAGAGTAACATGCTCCTATCCCTTTGCTCCTTATATTGTACACTAAAAAGTTATATTATGCTTCACTTCCTTCACTCATTAACTATATACTGGGGAGTTTAACTTCGCCTCTTCATTTAGTGGCCCAAAGCCTTGAAATTCAATTTCTAGTCTATAATTATCTTATAGTAACTCACTATAGAGTAAAGGGTAAAAACTATATGTGCTATAAGATTTTATAGTTAATTGATGTTTATTATATGACTTTAGGTTTTATTTCTATCATGGTTATGTTAGTGGTTCAATAAGAGTTTCAAGATTTTATGGTAGTTTATAATCACCCAACAAAAGCTTTAAATGTTATTTTTGACTAATTCTTATCATTTTCTAGAGAGGAGGATGGTGTAAGGTGTATAAACACACATAAATATATGCATATATACCTTACCTAGATAATATGCTAATTATAGTAGTATAACATATGGTCCATTCTTGTATATAAATAAAGGTTTAAACCACATTTAATATACCTATTCCCATAAATAGAAGTTGAGTTATTAATTACTTAAGTTAAACATTTAAACTTTAAATCCTAAACCTAGGCTTGAATTATAAAGATTACTTGAAATCTTGATATTGTCGTTCCTTTTCCATCTTTGTAAGTTTGTGTGGTACTTTCTAAGATAGTCATCTATTTAATTTTATTGATCATCTTCTTATAATTAAATATGGCTTATAGACTAATAACATTTGCATTTTTTATTGTATTTTGCTTTGCACAACCACCACAGACTAGATGCCTTGGTGGTATTGCTCATTTTGGCACACGTCATATAGCTATTATAGTAAATAATTTGAGACGTTTAATTGAAAGTATTGATCCTAATAGTTTGATTACATTGAATCCAAATGGATATTATATTTATGATACTATTGCTGCTGGTTATCAACAAGTTATAATAAGAATTAATATATTTCCTACAGGTATAAGAAATTTTAATTGTCCATCTCTTCCACCTAATTATTCAATTTCTGGACAATATTTAAGAGATACATTTTTACAAATGCTACGGCTTGTAGAATATCATGCACGTCTGTATGGTGCAGGAATGATTATTACAGTATATAGATATTTTTCAATAGATTTTATAGCACTTGGAAGTCCTAAAAGAAACCCTAATGAACCATTTCCTGATTTAAGATATCCAAAAGGTTTGCCTGACGATACAAATCCCCCACCAAATATTTTAAATAATATTATTGATTCTGATAAATCATATTGTTGGCCATATAGATCAACATTAATAAATGGTCCATTAAAACTATCTGGCTCGTATATCATATCTGGGAATTCTTTAATTTCAGATAATAATAAATATAGAGTAACTCTAGGTAATTGTAATTTAATAATTGAAGATATTATTAATAAACAAAGTATATGGTCTACAAACACTGAAAAAACTGATATATTTTGTATGCTTCATCTTGAAACTGATGGAAAGCTAATTATTAAGGATAATAAAGGATTTAGTTTTTGGGAAACTACAGTTGATTGCTTAAATTGCATAAAACTTATTATTTTAAAGCTGGAAGATACTGGAGAACTTGTTATAAGTTCTCATTTTCATAATTATAAGAGAGTGATATGGACAAACAAAATTTACAAAAATCTTTAATATTGTAGTACAAACTGTCAGGTTAATTTGAGTATAGTTTTAATTATGCATAAAAAGATTTAGAACATGGGCTTTGTTATATATATATATTTAATGTCTAAATTGTTATTAGTATATTATTCAAAATCTATTTGACACAGTAGAGTTAAAGAAGGTAATAAGCTTTTGAATGAGTTTAACTGCAGTTTTTTTGTTTTTTACCTTTTTTAATCTCATTAAAAATAAATTATATTACTTTTTTTAATTATTAACAGTATAGATACTTTTTAAAAATGAATATAATATTATTTTATGTTATTAATAAATAAAAATTTGGTTAATAAAACTTGTCTTCATTGAAAATTAAAAAATAATTGACTATGGGGTTGAAATGACCTCTTTCTTATACAATATTCAGTGAGTATTAAGCGAAAGGCATAAGCAATATTTTGTACAAATAAAGCCAAGTTAGAAATTTGTATATGCACCAAAGTCTGCAAGTATATACAGAATATGTTAACTAAACCATGATTGTTTAAAGGAAGCAAAGAAACAAGGGAAGAGTGTAAAAAGCCTTAGCTGAGGTATTTATCAATCATGGACGTCAAGCTCGACTTTGGAACAGCACCGATCACGGTATCCTTCTTCTCACCTCCCACAAAGATAATCACAGTTGGAATGCTGCGAATTCCATACTCGGTGGCCAGGTTTGGGCATTCATCTGTGTTGAGCTTGAGGCATCTCAGCTTTCCCGCGTACTGCCTGGCGAGCTCGTCGATAAGTGGGGCTATCATGCGGCAGGGACCGCACCAAGGAGCCCAAAAGTCGACCAAAACTGGAATATCACTCTCCAGAACAAGCTTCTGGAACGTAGAATCGTTCACTGCACAAGCTGGAACAAACATTTGACGTGTTATCAAGCGATCTCACAGAAGAATACTATAGCTAAAGAAAAGGTTTCCTCAAAGAAGAGCTAAAACTGTAGCAAATGGAAGATGGAGCTAAGTGAACAGTGGAAAGTGTATGCTATAGAGTTTCAAGTGATTAGTCCCAAATTGCCAATCTCGAAGCACCGTGTGTAGAAGCAGTGATACTAGTGTGATAGAAAGAAATCAAAGCTATTTGCTAGAGTACCTGAGTTTGCTGTTTCTTGAGCCTCGCTAGTGGCGGCACGGCTAGAATCCCTCCCCACAGCAGCAGCGGCAGCAGCGCAACACCTGGATCGATGCCTCCCACTCAAAGCGGTGGCAGGATTCGCAAGATTCCCATAATGTACCCTGCTAGAGCACGAACTTCCCGGCGCGCAGGCTAGCTTGACATCGCAGCAAGCGGTGGACGATCCAGCCGCCGCCACCGCGGCCTTTGGAATCGCCGCGCAGCCGAGAATGCCCGATGCCATGCTCGAAAGACCTAGATCAACCGAGAACACTCTAATCGGACGGCTCACAAGCGTGTGACACGTCTGCCACGTCGCGCACACAGGATGTACAGTTGTTTCTGCCACGTCGGACAGTGACGTGGCGGCAAAGAACTCGGGTTATTTGAATGGAAGAATTCGTGTTTTTACTCGTCGGCCATGACTGGCGCACCTTTCCATTTGAAGTTATCGGCGTAAGCTTTGGGCTGCCACGCAAACGAGCAAACGAAGCGTTAGTGAATGGAATTTCTCCGAAGGAAAGAATGAAACAAGAGCGAGACGAGTGATCTCACTTTGAGAGTTTGCTGATGGGGCTCTCGCACCTGGGCAAAATGCAGATGAACACCAGTCGATCGATCAAAAACTCGCAGTAGCGAAGTGATTGAAACACTTACCGTATACTCCCACCCGTGCTTTGCCGCAAATTCGATGGCAGACTCTTTAGAATCGAACGAAAGTGCCGCGTCTCCAACGTATGCTAGAGGATCCGAGGTAGACGTCCAGCCCATGAGTGGATCCTGATACCTGAAAGAAAAACCAAGTTTTTCCAGATCAACCGCAAGAACAGAAGAAACGAAGAAAGAAAAGAAAAAAACAAAGACCAAGTTTTTCCAAACCAACACCAGCGAAGGATGGAACTCACTTCTCGGTCGATTCAAAATTGAACTTCCATTTTCCCATGGTAGTCCTTCCCTGCTGCGATGCGCTACGAGCGGGAGAATAGATTACAACCTAAGAGAAGACCGGAGTAAGAAATGAGCAAGAGGAGTTTCCTGTGCACGAAATCGCTACATTCTACGAGATCATACCTTGCGATGCATATGCTCCTTGGGAATCCCACAGGTCTTGCCCACATCTCCCGAGTTGATCACGGCGGGGCCTTCGTTGATTACTTCGAGCCCTGGGTCTTCAGAAGACACTGTAGTTGCAAAGGAGCGCCCTAGAGACTGTGTGTACCTCGAGAAATCTCCCCAGCGCCTAGCCAGGCGCATCGCCATCGCTCGAGAACCCTACCGCGCCCTCTCAGCAATGAGCGCATATACCGTCATCCTCATTCTCCGTTACTGTTAAAGGTATATTCTGTTATGTACTTTAGGGCTTAGGGCTTATGGGTAAGGGGAAGAAGAGGAAGGCGAAGGCGGCCGAGGCAGCGCCCGATCCCGGCGAGGATGAGGCTGCGCAGGTTCCAGAGGAGGCGCCACCGCCCAAGAGGACGCTCACAGGATTGAAGGATCCGCAGGAGCCACAGCAGCCGGGATTCAGGAACAAGGAGAAAACGCTGGTTGTTTGCTCGCGGAGCATCATCTATCGGTGAGAGTAGTGGAAATGCGTTGCGAATGTGGCTTTACAATCTTTGCGTTCCAGGTATCGGCATCTCATGATGGACCTGATTGGATTGATGCCGCACAGTAAGAAGGATGTGAAGCTTCAAGCCAAGGATAACAAAAATGGGACTTTGAATGAGATTGCCGAGCTTCGAGGATGCACGAGCTGTTTGTACTTCGAGGTGAGGTTTTCTTCATAGTGTTTTAGCTAAGGCTCGTAGTTCAGTGCAGGAAAAGACAGGATTTGTATCTGTGGATGACTAAGTTTCCTGGCGGACCATCTATCAAGTTCTTAGTGAACGCGGGTAACATTTTGCTTTGTTTCCCTTCTATGTCTGAAATGCGTAGCGATGTTTTGCAGTGCACACTATGGCGGAGCTAAAACTTACAGGCAACCATTTGAAAGGATCTCGTCCCATACTGACGTTCTCATCGAGTTTCGACAAGCAGCCCCACTTAAGGCTGATAAAGGAGATGTTCATCCAAGTAACGTCTTTTCTTTTTGCGGATCCTGGTTTACTACTAGTGTTTTTGCAGGTCTTTGGTACTCCTAAAGACCACAGGAAGAGCAAGCCTTTCTTTGATCACGTCCTGTCATTCACTGTGCTAGACAAGCATATCTGGTTTCGAAACTACCAAGTAATCTTTGTTTCTCGATAGTTGGTTTTGTTTCTAAACTCCATTTTCAGATATCTGTGCCACACCATGATTCAGACAAGCTCGACCGAGCGTCTGCCGAGAAGATGACTCTGATTGAGGTAAGTCTTCCACTTTCAAGTAACCTGTGATTGAATCTGGCGTGTAAATCCAAGGTCGGGCCAAGGTTTTGTCTGAATCCCATCAAGATCTTCAGTGCTAGCATGGGTGGGAAGCCGCTGTACGAGAATCCCTTCTACACGGCTCCAAACATGGTAAATCTCGTGTCGAATTCTTTCCACGCAGCTAATCGTGGATGTGTTTTCGGTGTGTTACACAGGTTCGTTCGCTCATCAAGCGAAAAGATGCCAAGTATAAGATGAAAGTCAAGGCCAGGAACTCTAGAAAAGCTCACGTAGAGGCAAACGCGCTAGAACCGAGCGAATTTGCCCATATGTGGCGTGAGTAAGATCTTATCTTGACAATTAAAGCTATTGATAATTTTGATACCGGTAAATGCGAGACCTGGCCTTGATCCAGTCCTGCGAGAGCTTGAGCGAGGCCAAAAAGATCTACGCGCGCGTGGATCGAATTCCTTACCGCGATCGCGTGTTTCTCTACAACAAGCTCATCGAGATGTTTGGGCGATGCGGGGACGCAGCTCAAGCGCGCAAAGTTTTCGATGGAATTGCCGCCAAGAACACCTTCTCGTGGGATCTTATGCTATTTGCCTACACCAGAAATGGCCAGATCCGCGACGCGCAATGCCTCTTCTCCGCGATGCCGAGCCCCAATGTGGTCTCGTGGACGATGATGCTATGCGCGCTTGCCGAGGCTGGCGAATTCCACGCATCAATGGGATTGTTCCAATCGATGCCACTCTACAATCTTGTGTCGGTAACAGCAATGCTCGTGCTCCTCGCCAGAGAAGGTCGAATCGAGCAGGCAAAGAAGGCGTTTGACAATATGCCCGAGAGAAACCTTGTAACGTGGAATGCTATGGTAACTGCATTCGCTCGGAACGGGCATTTGGCTGATGCGAAAGAGATGCTAAAGCAAATGCCGCAGAGAAATGTCGTGAGTTGGAATTCGATATTAAACTCACTTGTGGAAAGAGGTGGCGTGCAAGAAGCTACGTGTGTTTTCAACGACATGCCCGAGTGGGACGTGGTATCTTGGACTGCGATGCTTGCAGCAAATGCCCAGACCGGGAATTTATCGAAAGTAAAGCAACTCTTTGATGAAATGCCCGTACACAACTTGTATACGTAGACGGCCTTGCTAGCAGCATGCGCGCAGAGCTGCTCATTGGAAGATGCGAAGCGAGTGTTTGAGAATATGCCAGAGAGAAATCTCGCCTCATGGAACGCTCTTCTGTCAGCATTTGCCACGAGTGGGCAAGACATCGAGCTGGTTAAGCAGGTGTTTGACGAGATGCCCATGGCGAACGTAATCTCGTGGACGGTCATGATTGTCTCATATGGTCTGAGGGGCCACGTGGAGGAATCTAAACGGGCGTTTGACAGTATGCCGGAGTGGAACCTTGTGTCTTGGACAAAGCTTCTTTCTGCATTTGCCGAGAACGGGCGTTTTGAAGAGTGTTTGGGAATCTCTTACGACATGCCTGGTCAGGACGTGTCCTCGTGGACTGCACTTCTGTCGGCGTACGCTCAAAACGGGCAGATACAGAACGCGAGAAGTATATTTGAGAAGATGCCACAGAGGAATCTCACGACATGGAATGTCATGCTGGCGGCATATGCCCGGAGCGCGAATCTTGACATCAAAGAAGCCGCATTCTTCACAATGAGCACTCTAAACACTCTGGAGCGCCCCGAGGCTGTGACGTTCCTTCCGGTGCTGATGATCTGCAGCCACCAGGGCAAGATCTACCAAGCCAGGAGCTACTTCCACTCGATGATCCAAGACTTTGGCCTCAGTCCCAGCAGGAACCACTACTGCTGCGTGATCGATCTCCTCGCCAGGGCTGGGCATCTCGACAACGCGAGAGATTTGCTCGCAAGCATGCCGTTTGTGCCCGATTCGCTGGAGTGGGCGTGCTTTCTGTCAGCGCCTAGGCCGAAGGGAATTCTAAAGCTCGGCGTGGACGCCATTACCGCGACACCGCGCTCGGCGAACTACGTGCTCCTCGCCAACGCAATATGCCCGTGAATATGCCGATTCACACGAATATTCTAAAGGCTCTCGAATATGCCTGTAAATATGCGAGATTTAGGGTTTTCGCTGTAGGGTTATTCGCGATGGAGAATGCAGACGAGCGAGCGCGAGAGCGCGAGGCCGATGAGAGGGGCGAAGAGAAGGAAGGAAAGGTGGTGGAAGGAGAGGAGGGGCAAGAGGAGGAGGGCGAGTGCCCATTTTGTTTGTTCATGAAGGCGGGGCCGTGTGGGAAGGAGTTTCAGGAGTGGGAGGACTGCGTGCAGGAGGCGGAGAAGGAATCGGAGGAGACGGTGGTGCGCTGCCGCTCCATCACGCAGGTCCTCATGAAGTGCATGGAGGGATCGAGCTACTACTCGGTGGTTCTCCAGGCGGGGGAGAAGCTGGACGACTCGGCGGATCGGGGCGGTGAGCAGCCGCACAAGCAGGAGCAGCGGCAGGAGGATCTGCAGCAGGAGCAGGTGCAGGTGCAGATTCCGGAGCAGGAGCAAGTTCAGGTGCAGGTTCAGGTGCAGATTCCGGAGGAGGAGCAAGTTCAGGTTCAAGTTCAGGTTCCGGAGGAGGAGCAAGTTCAGGTTCAGGTGCAGATTCCGGAGCAGGAGCAAGTTGAGGTACAGGCGCAGGGCGCGACGGATGAGACGGATCAAGCCAAGGATCAAGCCAAGGACAAGGAGGAGAAAGAGCAAGGAGGATTTCAAGTGCACGTTCAAGTGGAGGATCGGCAGGGGATGGCTGCGTGAGGAGAACGGGAGAGAGAAAATAACAAACAAACAAGTGTTTTGTTGATTGCCTTGCCCCGGAACTCCTCTCAATTTTGTAAGTGGTGCTCTTCACCAAATAATTTTTGATAGACAATCCTGCACTTGTTATACTGAGCGGTTTTTGCTTGATTTATTTTGGCCAAAAATTTAGAGTACTTCTGCTAGGAAACAGCCACGGCTTCTTCTTGCATCTTCAATTCCTGCTTTAACGAAGGCAATATCGTTTTTGAGTTTGCAGAAAGTCAAAGACGAACCTGGGACAAGTGGATCCACGAGTCCAGAACTTTGAGTGCTTGGCCGGATTGTTGGGCCGCTTGAGCCATTTCGACGCCGGATTTCAAGTCGTCGGCCACTCCACACGCAACAAGGCCGGCTCCAGCATTGAGAATCTGAGCAAAAGGCAAAACACACTTCAGTGTCTTTACAATGTGGTGATGGTGATTACCAGAGCATTCGCGATGTGTCCCTCTTGTCCACCAAGCACATCCCTCAGAACCTTAGAGTTGAACGCTGCATCACCACCTCGCAAATCTTCTACTGTACAACGAGGGAAACCAAAGTCCACTGCATCCATTTTCTCTATCAGAAGAGAATTCAACGAAGAAAACGATCTTACATGGATCGAAGCTGAACTCTTTGATAGATGTGGGAGTGACTTCCAATATGAATCCAGGGCCTGCTCGCGAAAAGAAAAAACGTTGGAAAAATGGTGTGAAAAAGCAAACTGACTTACCGAGAGGACTCATTTCATCCAGTCCCTCAGAGTGCACTACCAACGCGTGCTTTGTGCCAAGTAGCTGGAGCGCCTTCGCCATCTTCGGTACCTATTCCTCGAGATGAGATCATCACGTCTCAGGAAAAAAAAATTCTCCAGTGAAATATAATCGAAACTTACAAGGCTTTTGGAGTAGACGCCAACAATCTGGTGCGGAACTCGAGCGGGGTTTAGCAGCGGGCCGAGGATATTGAACACGGTTTTCACCTTCAAGGACTTCCTCACAGGCCCAACTACTTTCATGGCTGGATGAAACTTCGGTGCCATCATAAAGGCAATCCCTGCTTCCTTGACACATCTGGCAATTCCCTTCTCATAGAACTTGGGAGTGAAAAAACAATACTAGAAGAACTCGAGCGAGTACCTCAGGGCCGAGATTTATCTCCACGCCGAGCGCTTCCAGAACGTCGGCGCTTCCGCAAGCTGAAGAACTCGAGCGGTTTCCATGCTGCCAGGAAACACGTAAACTTTCACGCAGAAAGTTAAAACCGAACCATCGTACCTTTGCAACCTTGGCTCCGCAAGAAGCAGCAAGGATACAAGCTCCAGTCCGAGATATTGACGGTGTTTGCTCCATCGCCACCGGTACCAACAATGTCTAGGCCACCAACGAGACCAGGCACTGCAATAGAGCGCTTAATCATTGCTTTAGCAAGGCCGGCAATCTGTGAGGAATTTGGAAACGAGATCGTTCAAGGTAGCAGCAAGTAGAAAAACAAAGAACAAAAGAACCAAGCAAAACCTCTAAGAAAAGTTAGAGCTACCTCTTCGAAAGTCTCGTTTTTAGCTCGAAGGAGCACCAAAAACGCGGAGATTTGCGCAGCATCGGCCCCCTCCAAGAGCATGTCCGTGACGGATTCGGTCTGCTCGGACGTGAGATCGGTCTTTTCCAGCAAAGTTTCGATGAGCTGCAAGAGAAAAATGAGCTACATTTGGATAGTTTAAACCTTCTTCCTTACCCGAGGGACAGAATGGAGAGAATTCGAAGCCGCACACTGTACAGATCGCGTAAAACACATACCAGTTCTTGCCCGGAGCGATGATCCACGGGAGCTGGATCGCAGCAGCGGCAGCTTGAAGAGATCGAAGGAAGCTCCAACAGCAGCAGCCATTCTGTGCGTTTCGCCCCCTCGTTTCAAAAGGATTTAGGGTTCTTGCTACAAGTATGGAAGAACCCTAAAAAGTTTTTTCCCAATGGTTCTTGGCAATGGTCGATCAGTCTGCCGAGCCACCGGCATCCGATTCGGATGGATCCTCCGCCCCGCCGCCGCCGGTGGAGCCGCTCAAGCTACCGACATTCGAGGAGATGAAGGCGCAGGATGTGTTTAACAACTGCGCCGTCAAGAGCATTGTGAGCTGCGTCATGGGTAAGAGAGGATTTCTTCCTCTTTGATCCTCTTTCCTCCTCCATTGTCAAGAGTTTCCTCCTCGATTCTCTCCTCTTTCGCCAATGGCGATGGGAATTCCAAACGTGTTTCTTCGTTCTAGGCCTAGGGAGTTCTTGACAGAGTTTTTTTTTCTTTCCAGGGGGCGGCATGGGGATTTTCATGGGATTGCTGTTTGGAGCGCTGGACAATCCACTCAACCCCGATCAAATGACCGTGAGGCAACACTTCACACACGCCGCCAAGCAAATGGGCAGCAAGAGCCTCCATATGGCCAAGGCTTTCGCGGTGATGGGAGCCATTTACTCTGGAACCGAGTGTATCATAGAAAAGGTATCCTCTCTTTCACGTAGTTCTTGCCAGAGAGAGCTCTTGAATGATCGCGAGCTCTCCGGAGTTCTTGGGATCCTCCAAAGTTCTCGGAAAGTCTCTAGAGATTAGTTCTCACGATCGAATCTTTGTTGTTTCCAGGCTAGAGCGAGGCACGACATGACGAACACGATGGTGGCTGGCTGTGTCACCGGTGGGAGCTTGTCTGCGAAAGGTAGAACTTTTCTTCTCCTTTTCTTCGTTTTTTTCTTGTTCTTGCTCAAGAAGGTTCCATTTTTCTTGTGTTCTTCAGCTGGACCAAAGGCAGCTTGCGTGGGCTGCGCTGGATTTGCGGCATTTTCCGTAGTGGTGGAGAAGCTATTCGATCGAGCGGCATAGCTTTTTTTTCTTCGATCTTTCTCTTCTTCTCTTGATGCTAGACAAACATTTTTCTCGAGGAAGGAGAAGGCTCCAATTTTTTAAAAGCCCTACTTATATAACCTCTCTCTCTCACAATGACCTAGAAGAAGAAAGAGAGCTCTGGCGCGAGGATGGAGGAGAAGCTGTGGAGCAATCTCTTCGAGCAGCCTTGGATGTGGAGGGACAATCGAGCCACAAAGGTACGCGCTCTGCGATATAGCTTCCCTCTAAGATCTTCACTTCCACCAGGCACTGTGGCATTCTTCCAGAGCTGCCCGAATTTCCCCGATTTCAAGCATTCCAGCACGGGCGCGGGACTGTGGATCGATTCGCGCTCCATTCCAAGCTGGGTGCCGCTCAAGCTCAGCGAGAAATCTTCCTGGCCTCGCAACGCGGTGGAAGGCAACGCATTTCCTCCCAGAAAATCCAACGCAAAGAAAAGAAATGGAGCTGATCGAGAGACGCTGGCAAAATTCCAGAGATTGCAAAGGGAGGGGATGAGGCCAAGCATTGGGATCATTCTCGCTGCTCTCAAGGTCTGCACGAACAGCAGGGATCTGGAAGCCGGGAAGAAAATCCACGAGTACGTTTCTAGCAGTGGCGATTTCTCGTCCACCATCTTCATTCCCAACACTCTGGTCGACATGTATGCGAAGTGTGGGAGCTTGGACGAAGCCCGGCAAGTTTTCGAGAGCATCCATAGCCGGACAGTGGTGTCATGGAGCGCTCTCATTCTCGGCTACGCTCAAAGTGGTCAGGGAGAGATGGCGTGGGATCTATACTCACGCATGCAACGCGAAGGCTGTGCTCCAAATCGCGTCACTCTCCTCGCGGCTCTCAAAGCTTGCTCGAGCTTGGCGGAGAAGGAAGAGTGGAAGATGATCGATGGAAGGTTGCTCAAGCCGGTTTGCCTGGAGAGAGGGAAGGCTGTGCATCTCCGAGCTGCCGAGAGTGGTGACGACTCGAGCCCGTTCGTGGAGAATTCGCTGGTGGATATGTACTGGAAGTGTGGGAGTATGGTGGACGCTCGTCGGGTGTTTGAGCGCATGAAGCATCACGACGTTGTGGCTTGGAACGCAATCATCCTGGGTTACGCTCAAAGTGGCGATGGAGAGCTGGCTATGGAGATGTACGCTCGCATGAAAGACGAAGGCTGTGCTCCGGATCGTGTCACTCTACTCGCAACCTTGAAGGCTTGTGCGTGCTTGGCCGAGAAAGAACAAGGCAAGGTGGTGGACGGGAGTGTTGTCAAGGACCAGTGTTTGAGACAAGGGCGGGCTATCCACGACTTGGCTGCAACGCTCGGGGATGATTCACACACTGCGGTGGCCAACACGCTGGTGGATATGTACGCGAAGTGTGGGAGCATGGCCGATGCTCGCAGCGTCTTCGAACGCATTCAGGAGCGAAGTGTGGTATCATGGAACTGTCTCATCGCAGGATATGCTCAGGCCGGAGATGGGAATATCGCTTTGGAGCTCTTGACGCGCATGGAGGAAGAAGGCTGCTCACCGGATGCTGTGACTTTCGTTGCCGCTCTCAAGGCTTGCAGCAGCCTGGGAGCTTTGGAGTCTGGAAGAGAGCTCCATGCTCGAGCATCCATAGATGGATTTGAGACGGTTCCAGCAGTAGCAAACGCTCTCATCGACTTTTATGGGAAGTGTGGGAGCATGCCCGACGCGGAAGAGGTCTTTGAGGCTGCTTGCAAGAAGAGCTTGGTGACTTGGAGCGCGCTGCTAGCGGGATACAGCTTCCAAGGCAACACCTCGCAGGTCTTCCAGCTCTTCGAGAGGATGCAGAAGGAACGCATTCAACCGGATCACATCGCTTTTCTATCTGTTCTCACGGCGTGCCGATATGCCGGGCTCGTCGACAAGGCCAAAGAGTACTTCCGGTCCATGCGGGAAGAGTTTGGCATCGTTCCCAATCTCCAACACTATACCTGCCTGGTGGACGTTCTTGCTCAAGCAAACCATCTCGAGGAAGCAGTATCTGTCGTGAGGGGCATGCCTGTGAAGCCTGATGTGATCATCTGGATGGTAGTGTTGGATGCTTGCGTCAAGTGGGAGAATGTGGGTGTTGGAGAGCTTGCGTTTCAATCCGTGGTCAAGCTAGAGAGCACAAGTGCATCAGCTCATGTACTTATGTCTAATGTCTATGCTGCCACGGGATTGTCCAAGGAGGCCTCTAGGATTCAAAACCAGCTAAGTAACATACCTTACTAATTTTCAATCTGTGACAAGTCAGTTTTTCTTTTGTTCCTGAGGTTGGTCCAAATGCTGATGTAATAACAATGCTTGAAATTACTAACAGTAATAACATTTAAGAGAGAATTCATTACACTAATTTGCTAGAGACGAGTTACAACGATCTCTAGATGGTTTTGATCAACTGAAAGCTGTTGGAATTTGTGTGTGGACAGAAGCAGAGAAGAATGCTGCTCGGCATAATGTTCAAGCGAAGAAACTCATACAAGAACAATTTCCAAAAAGAGTTGGATCAAACATAGAAAGAGCTATTTCTATTCAAAGCTTGTTAGCAAGAGTGTCAAAAGATTTTTACATCACCTTATCAAATGTTCTAAGTAGGCAATCATCTTTACACCTGTAACTTTCACAGCTTTCTTGATCCTTTTGTCCTTTTGTGACAAGTACTTCCCGATGCATTACTAGCATTTGCACTTTGTGATTTGTCATCCTTGATGGTCAACTGACTGATTTTTAGTCTCTTTTTGAAGCTTACAAGATGATGGAGATGTTGGCTTAACAACTTGCTGCTCATCTCCCTCAAGAATAATAACATCATTTCCATCACTTTTGATTGATCCTTCATGTACAACTTTTTGAACTTCTGGTTTGTCTTACACTTGTCAGACCTGTAAAAAAAGAAAAAACACCATGGAAAAAACTTATTGTTGTGAGTTTTATCCTCTTTTCCAAATTAGCTTCCACTTGTTTTTACAAGCAATAATATCCTTATCAAAATGTGACTATAAACCTTGTAGTTTTGCCCAAAGATTAATGCCCTGTTAGAGAAGCATTTTTAATCATCTTCCATCTCAGCTTTTATGTAATGCCTCTCCCTCTTTTTCTTTTATCTCAAGACTCTTGATTTTCCTCTTTTCAAGGGGCAATAGTGTTGATAGAAAGTAGGAGGCATACTTTGCCACTTGAGAAAACATGGAAGGAATTGGATTGAAAAGAAAATAAAAAAAGAAGGCTATTGAGACATACTTGGTGATTTCCCAAAGAGTGCCATAGGATTTTTGCTACTCTTTAATTAATGGCTATGTTAAATCTACCAGGCATAATTGGAATAAAGGGCCACATTTCCTCAACTTTGATTGCTTAACACCAAAATACCAGCCAAGAATAGTGGAATAGGGGACAACCTAATCTATGTCAAGCTGTCATGTACCAGTGGGATGCCCAATGAGAGCGCTACCAAATCTGAGTTGCTGTATGGTTATGCCACCTGGGCTCCCAGCCAGTCCACCACAAGCTGGTCCCAGATGGAAGAATTAAATCAACCTTCATTGCTCTGTATCATAATGAGGCTACTTCTGATCCAGATCCAGACCTGGAAATATAACATATAATTCATATTATCCACAAAGAGACCAGTGCAGCTATCGAGGACTTGATACAACTTGACCAAGAAAAGCACCAAGGCTGGTGGAGCCAGAACATCTAGGCCTAATTCAACAAACTGCTTGGTGGTGACAATTCCCCCCATATGGATTAGTCTTTCCTTCAAAGCAACTCATGCTTCCAGGACTAAATGGATAGCCCAGGGAGATGAGACTATAGTGCAAGTGGTTTTGGACTGCCCATGATACAAAGGTGAATGAATATAGTTTTAACATAATAGATTGATATGTTAATAGTACTTTTGGGTGTTTGTTATGGGATTGGATATGTGGAGCACTTGGACCAAATGCAAAGGTTAAATGGTATAGATGCTATTTACGAGGGTAATATGTCCCTAAGTCAAGAATAAAACTTATAGAAGTTGTAAGTGAGACTTCTCCAAATGGTCAAATGTATAGTTAAATGACTAAAGTAGAATGAAAAATTTAATCACTTACACAAATCTAAAGCTCAAGGTCTCTATAAATCCTAGAAGTTTAGAAACTCCAGTCTTTTAGTTCATGGCCACCATCTAGTGGAGCTCAAGTGGTAGCATTAGGCCTATATACTCATGAAAGATCACTTCTCTTCTTTAGTCCATTCTAATCCAAATAGTGCTATAACCTAAGTATGAACTTAAAGCTCATGCATTGGCTCCCTATTCCACTAAGTAAAAGCCCTATGAAACTTCCCTAGAGAGCAAGTAGTGTCATGGCTTAAAGGCCTTCCCAACTACTTTATGGTACTATTCTAGAGAGAAGTCCATGTGGTTGAAGGATGGGCAACTGTTATTTTCCTCCTCAATGGTGTCTCTTTGGATTGATAGAAAGCCCCTTGACATGCCTAGGAGAAAGGAGTTATTCTTATAAATTAAAATATTAATAAAATTTTAATTAGATTAATAGTATTAAACATTAAGAAATCTAAATGTATATCTATAGTAGTTTGTATTTGAAAGTCTAAGAATTTATAATAATTTATATGTTTAAATCTCAAATATATTCTATAATAAAAACCTTAAATATTTGGTATTTCGAAAAAAATCAAACATATAAAACAAAATGATTTCAATATAAGCTCTATTTTGTTAAAGTGGGAATTGTCATTATCCCACTTGTAAAATAAGGTTTCCAAACCTTTATATAGTATATAAATATAACAAAATTCAACTGTATTGAGGCACATGCCATTTTATTTTAAACAAGGAAATGTCTACTCAATCACTTCTCACTGCTTTACCTCTCTCTTCTCCTTGTCATCGTCGTCCAATTTCTTTCCATCCTTTTAATATTAGCTCAGTTGCTCCGAGTCTAGGTGGAGCCCAAGTCCCCATTCAATCTTTACTTTCCCCTTATTAATAAAACAACTTCGTAGACTTCCAATAACATGCTGTAACACTTCTAGTATAATGCAAATCCTCTCAAAGAATTGTCTTTTAATATTAATACAATGGCATGGAACCCCATGCCATAATAAGTTACATTTTTAAATAAATACATGCCATCTCAGACTGTTATTTTTTGCCTCCAACGCCTATACAATAATCTTGGAATTTCATCACTCTCCACACTATCAGGATTTAAACCCAATAGTAATGCCATCTCTTCTCTAATACGTCCACGCTCATGTTCAGTGGTCGAAGAACCCATCCGGTTGAGCAGATTATGGAGATGCGGATAGTGCTTGGCTAGACAATATACATGCCATAAATGATGACTGGTGTCTGTCCGATCAAATGGCTTCTGATATACCGTTCCATCTGCCATTTGGTTGATTTCTGCAGCCACCTCCTGGACTGGCCGGTTCTCTATCACCATCGCTTCAAGCCGTTTTGCAAGGTCCCCCAGAACATACGGTTTCTTCTCCCTAGTTTCCATACTGCAAGAGATGGGGTGCACTGCATATGTGTGCGTGTTCGCTGCAGTTTTAATCGGCGAGTCATCGATGATGAGGATTTCACTTGACCTAGCAGTCCGGTTCATCACTACAGCCTCTGCCTTGACGAAGATGGGCTTGCTACCCCTCACATGGACCATAGTCAAGCAATCCTCCTGCGTTAGGAGAAAGTCAAATGGTAATATTACTCGCGTCTGATCATGCATCATCTGTAGCAACGTTAATGCATTGTGGCGCATCATGGATGTCCAAACTCCCAATTGCAAATTGAACCCGGCCCTCTGTTTTAAGTGTCGCATGGTCATTATTAGATCCCGCAGTTTCTCCCGTGTGATTAATGTGAATCTGTCTCTTTTGACCAACTTGCGACCGCAGGCTTTGGAGGGTGCAGTGACATTCGAGGACGAGCCACGCTCATGGGAGAAAAGGACACCGTTCAGATCAAAAACGATACAGTACTTTCGCCGTGACTCTGAAATGAAATGCGTTAGCATAAAAAATGGTACAAGTCAATTTTACCATCTACAATATTAGCGAATGGTGCTCCCGATGGTCGTTCAGAGGGTTTTGGTCGAGGAAACGTGAAGGGCGGAAATACTCTCCTCTGCAATGTGGGGTCAATCGCATCCGATGGCGTGTGGGCACATGCCATTTCAGCTGTAGACTCTGGTACAACTGGCTCAACAGTGGCATGGGGTGGTTCCGATGGCGTGTGATCACACGCCATTTCAGCTGGTGCCTCCGTTGGCAAAGTGGACATGACCGAACAGGCAGCAGGGGCGGTGTAGGGAGGTTCCAACGGCGCGTAGTCAGACGATTGGGCACACGTTGGAAATGAGGATACGACCGGCTCGGCGGCTGGGGCGGCCTCATGCGGGTCCAATGGCGCCTGGTCACTGTCAGTTGGATACGTGGACAAGATTGACTCAGTGGTATGGGCAGCATCAAGTGGAGCGTGGTCAGCTTGCTTGGCGTTGATATGGATAGTAGCCTCCACCAGCTCTAATGACTCTTGCAGGCAAGTAGAGTCCACTGGCGGATCCATATGCATGTCCAAATATCTCCCTTCGATTGAGATGGTATCCTCCCGTGCTACTAAAAACAAACTCATTAGCACATTGAATCGACTATACTGTATTTACCATCAACTGCTATTGAGGAACTAGGACCGATATCACTTGGGCGCACTGCTGATTCTGAAGGATTGGACATACGTTTCGACCCTTGCTTGGCACTATCCTTCCTCGACACTAAAGGCTAGAGTTTGTATCTTAATTCAACTAAATAATCTCTACTTACCATTTCTTCTGCGACCTACATGGACAATGTTAGAAATGGTAAAAGGTTAGGAATGGATGTACTATTATTTACCTGATGGTTTGTCTTGTATGACCTTCCTCCGCTGCTCTTTGGCCACCTCAGGCTGGCCATCATCGTCATCATCGTCATCGTCGTTATTGTGATCGTCACCATTGTGAGGACCATCCAAGTCCTCTTCGTCCTCCTCTTCTTCGTCCTCCTCTTCTTCGTCCTCCTCTTCGTCCTTCTGCTCTTCCTGCTCATTATCTTTCTCTGGCTCCTCATCCCCCTCTTGCATTTCTTCCATAGGCTGCTCAGGCTGGATTGCTTGTTTTTCCAGGACCATCTTGGAAAAATCATCTGGCCGAGTCTCCATCTCAAAATACAAGACATCCATAGCCTGTTTTAGTGCGTGACCTAGGACCGTATCCTCACCCGACTGTCTTAACATGGTTTCTGCACGTTCTTGCACCCTTCGAAGACGACGAGATGAGAAAAACGTGGCCCTG